AACCTACTTTTGATAGCCCTAGTTGAATTTAAGGGTCAACCAATGACCCATAAGCCCAAATTAGCCCAAATGTTCCCTTAATAATATCAATCATAAGGGATAAATTTCGGACATGCCCAAAATTTCTGGCCATGATTAATTGTTTTCAAGCTAAAATTACAAAAATACCCTTTTGGTTAATACTTGAATTGACTAATTTCATGAATGATCATGGCCTAAAAACATAGAGCTTCTATAATTCTCCAAATGATCATTCTAATGAGCCTAAGATCAGTCAGTTTGGTCAAGTGTGTGAGGAGAGATAGATCTTTGAAGTTCTTTGCATTTTTTAAAAATTTAAATGGGAGTTTACCTATTCAGCCACTCACTTTCCACGTGGGTGCCACCTGATTGGTTAGCCAATCATTGGCAATTGAATAGGTAACGTGGAATAAAATGGGTAATGTGGAATTAACAGTAACCGTCAAATGGTTAATCTAGCGGCTACGGTTTAAAGCGTCCCAAGATAGTGGAGAAAAACTCCACCAGATTTTATAAAGAGCATCATGACGAGGGAAGCCTTCAATTCAACGGTAGAAATATGTTGGGGTAAAAGTTTCCTTCACACTTGACCGGGCTACCTAGCTAGAGAGCTTGGGTTTAGGTTTATACCTCATAGCGATCTCCAACACGTGGTCTTTTTTATTAGGAAGCTTGAGGGGATGACCTTGAACACTTCTCCTTTGGGCTTCATGGCCAGAGGATCACTAAAGATGGGCCTTCAAGCAAAGGATGGAGGGATTTTGCCAAAGCTCGTTGAAACAAATTGATGGAAAGGGATGAAGAGTGGGGAGAAGGAGGATGCTCTGAGAGCTTTGGGGAAGATTTTTGAAATATTAGGGGAGAGTGATGTCTTATGGGTGAAGGTACCAAATTTAAACCATGGTCGCGACCTTGGACGGTTAGGATGACACTAGAGAGGATCTAGATGGCTCCAACTGGAGGGGAAAACTATGGAAGGGGGGAGATCTTAAGTTTTTTTTTTTTTTTTATTTTTTTTTTTTTTTTTTTTTTTTGAAGAATGCAATAGCAATTAAGAGAAAAGAGCTAAGTACAAGCTAAAGAAAAGGCTCACATTCCTTCCTCAATAAAGAACAAAGAGAAGGAGGAATGTTAGCAAAAGAAGAACTATCAAATAAAAGTTGTTATCTAAAGCCAAAGTAGCACACATATCGGCTACCTTATTACAATCTCTATGAATATGATGTAAAATTACCTTATTGAAATCGGCCAAGAAAAGAAAATCCTCCTCAATCCGATTGTAGCATTGCCAATTAGCCTTATTAAATAATGTTGAATGAATTTGATAACATTTAGGTTATCACCCTCAATTATTACTCATTTGGTCTTAAGCATCCATGGTTGAATGAGCCTTCTAATTGTCATCACAGCATCCAATTCAAGATGAGCTATATCCCAATGTGTTTTTCTTCCAAAGGAGATCTTAAGCTAAAAAACTTTTGAACTTGGCTCTTGTGAGGAGGGGACAACTGGAGCACCATTCCATTCGCTCCAGTTGTCGTTGGCCATAATTCAGGAAAAAATGAGGTAGAAAGATTGTTGGGGGTCTGGTGAGTTGAAATGTTAGCATAATTGGACATGAGAGGGCCCAATTTAATAAGGTAGTTCAGGTTGACCTTAGTTTGGGTGTAACCAGGGTCGAGCCATGCGCTGGCTTTGATATGGGAGGTGTGTTGAGTCAAGTGTTATCCAATGTGATAAGGAATTGAGTTTGGTTTGATCTATGGTGGGAGTTAGCTCAAGAGAAAGTGGTTTTGACCACTTTGAGCTAGCTTAGGTCTTGACCCAAGTTAACCTAAAGGCTGAGTTAACTAAGGAGAGTGCATTGGACCTAGGGCCACCCAATGCAAGTGTTGGTTTGACATGATTTGGCCTAGGATGAGTTTTGGCTCATGGAGACACTTATTTAAACATCTAGGTCAAGCCAAATTGCTAATCCAAATGGGTCCAAGGCATGGGCCTTCAAAGTGACACTCTTAGAGACCTAATGGGTCATCCTATGGGCTTAGATGGGCTTATCAATTCCTTAGTCAAAAGGTTTAATCTAGATTAAAGTGTTTGTGTATTTTGGTCAAACATAATTGACTTGGTCGACCAGGTTGACCTTGGGTTAAGGTTTGGGTCCATTGAGTTTGGACTGATTACGTGAACTCAATGTGAATGGTCTCAATTCATGGGATGTTCATTTGGCTTGAAATGGATGTTTAAATGATTAAAGGGCACTTTAAGCAACCATGATTAAATTGGTCAACCAGGTCAAACCAAAGCTTGGGTTTAAGTCCAATGCATTCCTAATGATGTTTATACTACATTAGAAGAAGTTTTAATTTTTGATATGATTAAGCCATGATGACATTTGGAGAAAATTTTAATTTTTTTCTTAAAGGACATTTTGGTCATTTGACCCATGGTCAACTTTGGGTCAAGCTGGGTTCACCAAAATATAGTTTAATATTTAACATGTCATATCAAAGGCTATGGACATGGTCAAGGGTTTTGGGAAGGGTTCCAAAGTCAATTTTCATAAGGTGGCAAGTCTAGTGGCATAAATTATAAATATTTGAAAGTTTTGTAGTCTTTAGACTTCAATTCAGTTTATGGGGTTAGAAGTGTCAGATTGGGTTCAATTTGAGAGGGTTGACTTAGGAATATGCAAAATCAATAGGCAATTAATAGATCATAAATAGGAGGTCACTTAATTGGATTTTTAAATGATTGAAAAATCACTCATAAAGGGTTTTAGGATTTGAGTACTTAACCTTGAGTTTTAGTCTGAAATTTTTGATTTGAACTGGATTAAAGATTTGATTGATTGAGTCTGAATTATCTACATCTACAGAATTGAGGTCAACATAATATAAATCATCTTTTGGTTTTACTTTTTTAGACCCCAAAGAAAAGAAGTTCCTAGATTTGATGGTTTAAATTTGTTAAGAGTACAATACCTTTAAAAAGGCTTTTATTAATTTAATATCAGCCTTCAGATCAAGGGTATCAATAGAGGATATGATTTGAGCCATTCGATCAGGGGTTTCATTTTTATTAGGGGCGGCCGATTCAAATTGGGAGTGGCGGTTCACTCATCCAAAAAAAATTAAGATGTTGACACTCCACCTTTTGCAGCCGGTCTCCAACTTCTCTCAACATCGGCTGGCTCCAACCCATGCATGTCTGACCTCAACAGCAGCCATCTTGTCTACTCACACAGACTCCGGCCACCTCTAGCCGCTGATCTTCAACTCCAAGCTCGACTCCGAACAGACCTTGCCAAGCCTTTCACAGCCTGTTTACTTTTCAATGATCATACCCTTTACATTCTGAATCCCACAAGCATCATCCTTTAGGAGACCCATAGCACAGAGAGTCATAAGCATATAAATTTTGATATCTAATTCTAATGGGAGGTAGAAAGCTTGAATGAAATCTATTATTTTTATTATGTTATATGGAGTAATTATTTATTTACTTTATTTATATTATTATTTAATTTTTTTATACCTATAAGCATTATTCTATTTAGTACAGTAAATTGTTAGGTTGGGTTTGACACGATGATCCGATGGTGGTGGGCTAGCAATAGTAAGGGTCTAACATCGATTGTCAGGTGGTGTCAGTTCAATGATAGTGGTAAGATAGCAATGATCTAGTGATTGCGGTGATCCAACAATGATGATGGTCAGGAGACAGCAATTTGAAGGTGGTTAGAAAATTTCATTAGACCGTATTTGATTCCTTGATAATAAATCATTATTTTTCATATTTAAATGTTTTCGTGATATTGGAATTAAGTGATCTAAGGCTCATTGAATTCATCACATAGAGATGCTCAATTGATAAACATATGAAATTGAGAGATTGTTTATATAAACATCTGATGCCTTGTAGTTTCTAACTATGCTTAAATTACTTCACTTAGGCTAGTTTAGACTCAGATTAGATCATTTTTAGTGTTGATGGGATTCATTTCATCAAAACATTCACTTCAATTATAAATTTATTAAAATTAGAATTTGAATGATTCTAAACTTAGCTTAGAAAGTTTCCAATTTAAATATGCATTGAGATTCATGCCCAACCAAGTTGATTTTGTATCACATAACAATAATACTTGTCACAATAAAAATATAATAAATTGTAAAATTTTTGAATAAATCTTAGATATAGTTTTCTAAGATATATAAAAAATAATTAACTTCATAAATGAAAATAAAAATTTAGCATATGCTTCTCTTCTAATCAAGGTTGTGAAAATCGGACCAGACAATGAACATGAAGAAGAAGAGGTTCACGGTTCCACCGGTATAACCGGGCTCGAATCGGATGACATAATGAATAATAAATATTATGAAAATTTAATAAATTTAACATAATAATAATGTTATCATTCAAAGTTTGAGACTAAAAAAACTATGAAACATAAAATTTACATAATTAAGTAAAATAATTATTTTAAAATCTCACATAAAAGAAAAAAAAACTATTATATAATTATTACAATTATTTAATGTTTTAAATATATGTTAATTAATTTATTTAAAAATATTTAAAAATTGTGAACCGGTTCAATGCAGAGGCAATTTTAAAATTGAATCAGATGATCTTGTGACCAGTTCATGGTCGAATCGGCCAGTCCGATCCGATTTTTAAAACATTGCTTCTAATTCAACTTCTTATCCATTTTTCTCCCATTTTCTTAAGAAAATGTATTGTTATCAAATATTTTAATATTTATTTACATATCACTTAATTTTTCATATCATCCTATTAGAGTAAACTCTTAATTATATATTAAAATAATTAGGTTTTAAAATGTTATTCATATATAAATATGAGTTTAATAAAGTAAGATCATACACTAATAAAAAATAAATAGTGCATTAATAAAAACGAAAAATTTGAATATTTGAAAATATTTCTTTTTAAGGAATGGAAAAAATAAAACATGGCAGCAGTGATCCCAAATCTTATCTACAGTTTCAGCAACTGTGCAGTGCATTGTTCCACTCCAGCCTCCTCCTCTTGAAACCCGACCGCAACTGCTACATATCATGGAATCCTCCTCCTCCCACTTCCTCTTCCGCCGACTCTAAAACTCTCTTCTAATGGGTCCTCCACCTCCCCTTTCTTCAAAACCCTCCATGGTTTCTTCAAGCCCCGGCAGAGCCGAGAAGCTCCCAACGCCGGGATTCTCTCATCTTCTTCGAGGCAAGAGCGGCAGCCGCAGCCGTAGCCAAACCTCCCTCTCCCGCTCCAGCCCCCTCTTCCCCTCCCGTAACCTTAGCCATGGCCGTGCAGCGCCCCCTTCCATTGACGCCGGCAACGACGGCGAACCCTCCTCCCCCAAAGTCACCTGCATCGGCCAAGTACGAATCCGAAAGAAGAACAAAGCCTCATTCAGATACGATTCAAAAAGAAATCGGACGCAATCGGAGCAGAAGAAGAGAGGTGAAAGGGAAATGCGGTGCTGCTTCATCAATAAATCTCTGGTCCTTAGCGTCTTTAGAAGCCGCCAATCGATCTGGAGGAAATGGTGGGTGAAGCTTCGATTCAAGGGGAATGCAGGATATCGACGGGGAAAGGAGAGGGTTGAACCGGCGGAAGCGGTTCCTTTGCCTTTGAACGATTTGGGGGAAATTGTTTTTCAAAAATCGGAACGGGGTGATGGGGAAGAAGCTGAGGAGTACGATGAATCGGAAACTAGGGTTTTCGTCCCGCCAAAAAACGCGCTTATACTCATGCGATGCCGATCCGCGCCGCACAACCGCTCCTCCTCTCTCGCCACCCGCTTCTCTACCACCGGCGACGACGAGGATGTCGGGAAAGGGGAGGATAAAACCGTGAAAGGAACAGAAAGCTCCCGCGAAGAAGAAGAGGAGGATGAAGAGGCCCGTTGCCCATCATCTCGGCCTCTCTTCCTTAAGCGGTCCAATTCGGAGCCGGCGAAGAAGGCGGCGAGGCTGGTGGCGCCGGAGGCCTCACGTTGTTCGCAGAACGGTGATGACGACAACCGGCGGCCAGCAAAGAGCCCATCACGACTCCATTAAAGTTTGGTGTTCAACTAGTTTTTTTTATTTATCTTCCATCTGGGCGTTGTCTTGTAAAAAGATTCTACAGTTTGTATTTTGTGGAAATTCTCTGAAAGCTTCTGCGATCGATTTTATAAGAAATTATCTCGAGATCTCCTCTTTTGTGGGTGTGCGGGAGAATCTTCGAATTCGCAGCGAGTGTCCGTACTACGTCTTGGTTTGGTAAATCGGGGAATGGGTTCTTAATTAATTTACTGATTCGCTATGCGCAATAAGAGAAAAATAGGGGGATTTTCCTCGTAATATTTATTTAAATATTTAATATTTAAATTTCATTATTTGAATCATAACATTCAAATTATTAAAATAAAATAAAATGATATGGAACCTCTTAGTTATAGCTTATCTTAGGAATAATCTATTTAGGTTGTTACATATTTTCTAGAAGGTTCTATGAATTGCTTATAAATATAGCTATTGTAGTAGGGAGGAGGAAAGAAGATATATGATAATTTGAGCTTTTAAATTTGGTTTGTTCCTTGGTTTTGTGTATCCTTTTTAGTAGATCATTTTCTTCCACTGGTCCACTGCATCATGAAATTGAAATATCATTAAAATTCATGCTTGCTGATCTTATCACCCATCGTCATTCACACATTCTCTTTTGCTCATAGGAGCTTGTTGATGAAATCATTGATGATCTCCCTCGAGAACTCACTTTGCTCTCCCTTCTTTCCACTCAAGAGAACTTGCAAGCAAATGTGTTGATGTGATCGACGTTTTAGGAATGTGTGAAGGAGCCCTCTATATGTCTCATGGAGGACGACAAAAAAGTGGAATTGATGAATGAGCTCACAAGAAGAAGGCTTTGATCGGACTAGTAATGATCTCATGAGATCCTTAATTAAGTTTGTTGTGCGTTGAAATATACGCAACGATAGAGTTAGAATTTTTCGTCTCAGCATTGTATGAATATCTAGTATACAAACAAAAGTTGAAAGAACACCAGGATTTTTACATGGAAACAACTAAAAAGGGAAAAATTATAGGGCCATGCTCAACTGAAAAAGATTCCACTAGTGTTTGAATTTATTACAAGTGATTGACTTGTCCTCGAAATTAAGGGTGATCAGATTATAATAATCAGCCACCAGGTTGAAGTGAAGTACAAACGGAGATTGAAAATCCTACAATGTTTGGTGGTAGGGCGGAAATCTAGCTTCAATTGAAGGTCAGAAAGAAATTCGACGTTAGTCGGCTACCGAGCAAAACTCCGGCGTCATAAGGCGGTCGGGCAGAACTCCAACATCAGTCGATAATCGGGAAGAACTCCGACGTTAGTTGGCAGTGTGGTAGAACTTCGGCTTCGGTTAGCGATCGGGCAGAACTCCGACGTCGGTCGGCTTCCAGGTGGAAGTCTAGCGGTGGTCGATGAGGAGTCTGATGGCAAGAAAGCTCTATTCCTTCTCTTCTTTTTCTTCCTTCTCTTCTTGCTTCCTTGCTTCCTTCTCTTCTATTCTTGTTTGGGTCCCCTCTTATGAGAAATGATGTGTCTATTTATAGTTTTTTTAGAGTGGCATGGCCAAAAAATAGGAGGAAGATCAAGGGTAAATTGGGAGTGGTTTGAATGGACGACCGATGTTAAATCTTTTAATCATGGACTACTTATTAGGCATTTGAATATCTTAATGATATCAAAATTTGATGATCTTGGGCTCATTTTATTCTTCTCGTGGAGCTGTTTTATTCGACTATAAGCATATGACATTTGGAAACCGCTTGGTAATCCAAATCATGGATTCATCCTTCCAAAAGCACTTCAGGTATTTCATGTGGACTCATTTGGGCTTGGATTGAGTTAAATTTGGTGTCGTTGTGTTCGTATTTCCAAGACATTCAGTACGAATGTAACTTTGCTGAAATTGGAGTTCAAATGATCTCTGGTTTAATTTTTTAAATTTCCAACTTGATTTTTCTTTGAGATTCATATCCGATCAAGATAATTTTTTGATGATACATCCTTTGCCCATATTTTCGAAGATCCAAAAATTCAAAAATATGTGACACTACTTTTTCAATTACTTGAATGGTGAAAAAATTTGAAGTCAAAAAATTTAAATTTGCTTAAACTTGATCATAGAAGTTCTATTAAGCTCTGAATATGTCAAAATTTAATCGGAAACATCAAAGAATAGTTATGGGGACCCAAAAAATGTCGAATTTGGACTGTCCGAACTGAAAATTTTGGCCTGAATGTGAGTTGGTGGCAGAACCGACCGGCCGCTAGCTGAAGCACTGGCGCCTCATTCTAGGCGTGCTGTTTGGGGTCACATCATTAAAGTAGCCAACAACTGCCAGCTGCGGTTAAGAAAAAAATTTGGCCCACCGATTTTTTTTTTTTTTTAATTCCAAATTTTTGTCTTATTTGGGCCCCAAAAATTTTGAAATATCTTTTAGAAGGATTTTAAATAAAATGGGATGGACATTTTACCCCCTTTTTCAAATAATCCCCTCCTACCCCTCTTTTTATCCTATAAATACACACCTAGAGTAAGGGTTATAAATACACCTCTTTATCTTCTCCCTTCTCCTTCTAACTTTCTTATATTTGAGATATTCCACTATTTTTTATAGGTGGCAACCCCTACTCAAATTCATTACTCTTCTTATATAGAAATTAGAACTTTCCACTTTTTCCTTACTTTCTCCACCATTTTTTTCTTACTTTAGAGGCATTCAATTATTTTTTGTATATGACATCTCCTACTTAAATTAGGTGCCCCTTTTTAGTGAATAAGTTTAAATGGGTTACCACACCTTCACAAAAATCCCCCTAGTTAAAGGAAATTGCTCTGCTTTTCAATCTGAGTGTTTGAAGAAGACTCAGAAGTGACTAAAGTTGATGATGTCAAATCCACCATAACCGGTGATTCCTTGATAATTTTTTAGGAAGAAATTTTACTTCCCTAATGATCTTGTGATGAAAGTGCGTGAAAATTTTGCTCTTGCATGTTCCCCTCCATTGGGATTTTTTACGGTGTACAAGTTTAGTTTGTGAGCAAGGCTACGATTTTCACCTCCTCTAGAGTAGATTGACATTTTAGCGACATATGGAGTGAGTTTCTCCCAAGTTTCTTATAGAGCTATGCTAATCATAATGGGATTAAACATGTTTTTTAGAGATCATGTAATGGTGTTGTCTCCAGAATGCCTTTCTCGGATGAGTAGACTTATCAGTGATACGTAGGGTCATATCTCTTTCATATCCAAGTGGCTGGATATTCACACTAGAGCCCCATTAAAAAGCTTAGCTAGTGATTTTTTTCTCTTTGCATAATGATTGGAATCTCTTAGAAAAATGGGAAAAGCTAAAGGAATTACCTATTTCTCTATATGTTAGAGCAGAGGATTTACTGAAGATGCTTAACCTTCACAATGTAGATACCCTTTACTATGAGGTGCATAATTTGAATAGAAATGTGGATAAGTAGTATTTATTTAAGATGGAATTATATACCTAGGAAGGAAGATCACGTGCTCGTATGCTAAAGAATTCGGCTAAAGTCTTAGGGGTAATTATTCAACCTTCAAAGGCTCCTCCTAAACGATCAGGGAATGAGGGTGATCCACAAGCATCCAAAAGGAAAAGAGTTGAGGAGATTTTGATAATCATTAGTAAAGGTCATCATGTTTCTTCATCTAAGTCACACACTCTAGAAGATATTTTGAAACATCAATGTGTTGGTCGTCAATGGGCTGAGGATTTGGTGAATTCCCATTTTCATTGTTGTTTTTATTTTTTTCTTTTTTGCATTCTCATAAGAATATGTCCCTTATGAAACTTTTCATATTATTTCAATTGGTGCAATACATGAATCTTGAAATTGAAATGACCAAGACCTTAAATAACTAGAATAATGAATTTAGGAAGGTCAAGTATCTCCAGGGAGAGTACAAGAAGAAATATGATGACAAGTCGAGGAGATGAAGGCTATAGAGGAGCAACTAGCAAGTGATTGATGAAATTGGCTAATATGGAAACTACAGTCTCTTTACAAAATCAACAGATGAACCATTTGTATATCGAGTTGGTGGATTCACAGGCAATAATCAACCAACATGTTAAAGATCATCAGGTCCTTGAGGAGAAGACTGTAGTCATTCAAAATGAGAATAAGATGCTCTAGAGTTTGTTATTTGAGAAGAAAGCCATATCCAAGTCAGAACAAACACCTTCCAAAGTCATAGAGAAATTCAAGAACTCTGTTGCCTTCAAGATGATCATCAATGATCAGATTCAGGAAGCTTGTGATCACATATATGATGTGGAGGTGAAGTCCTTGGAGTTGGAGTGTATAGAGGAAGGTTTCATCAGAGATTTTTCGAAGGACGTCCATTTAGTGTTGTGTAAGATTAGAGTTGAAGTCGAGGGGTTAAAACCTAGCGAGGCTTCTGGTTATTCTTCTTCATATTATGATGGTGATTAGATAGAGAGTGTGTTGCATAAAGCCTTTGCCCTAAATGAGGATGTTGATATTGAGATTATGTAGTATTTTTTTGTTATTGGTTGTACCATTTTAAATGTTACATGTATTTGATGTTGATATTATCATATGATATATATGATAAGTTCAGTGATATATTAAGAAGTTATTGGTTTTATTTTCTTTTCTTTATCATATGCATATGAAATTTACTTAATTTTATTACAATTTTGATGATAAGAAATATTTTAGTGGGCTCTTTTGACTTGAGGAAATATGAGAGACATCTTCTTTGGTTGTTTTGACCTATCTGAGATTATTAGTCAAAGTATTTGTTTGATGTCATTTAACTTGTATGGAAGAAGTCATATCAAATCCCCCTATGATTGATCATCTAGTGATTTGAGATTCAAGACATCCTCCTAGGATGCTTGACCTATCTGAAGTTGTTAATTAAAGTATTTAATTAATGACATTAACTTATATAAAAGAGGTCGGATCAAATCTCCCTTGGATTGTTCATCTAGTGATTATAATACAATGTAAATTGTGTATTTTTTAAATCATGGAAAGAGGTTAGATTCTTTATTAATTTTTATCCTTTTATAGGAGGAGATAATATCAGAACAAAGCAAACATTACATTATTACATTTTATAAGATAATACAACAGTTCCCTAGTATAACTT